AGTTCGCAATGTGAACTGATTTCCAAGTAGGTAATGGCGGAAATGTGCAGTAAATGTGACAACAGCAAGCAGCTCCTTGCGTGTACTGCCCATGTTACGTTGGGATCTCGTTAATGCTTTGCTGGCATAGGCAATCACTACTTCCTCACCGTGACTGTTGACTTGCGAGAGAACAGCTCCCATGGCGAGATCTGACGCATCAGTGTCCAGGATGAAGCGCTTGGCAGGATCAGGATATGTCAGAACAGGTGACTTGACTAGTCGGGACTTCAGCTCAGCAAATGCCTGTTCACACTCATCTGTCCAGTTGAAAGTGGCATTCTTCTGGGACAAACGGTTCAGGGGCTCTACAATTTCTGAGAAATGTGGCACAAAGCGGCGATAGTACGATGCGAAGCCAACAAAGCTACGCACCTCTTTCAGTGATGTGGGGGATGACCAGTCCTGAACAGCCGTGAACTTGCTTGCGTCCGGTGCCACACCTTGCTCTGAGAATAAGAATCCCAGGTACGTGACTGAGGACTGAAGCAGTGAGCACTTCTTGGGCTTGATCTTGAGTCCAGCTTGACGAAGACGACTGAATATTGTTTGCAGACGACTCATGTGTTCCTCAATTGTTGATGAGAACACGATAATGTCGTCCAAGTAGACCAGACAGATATTGGGTACTAGGTCACCAAGGACCCGGTTCATGAGGCGTTGGAAAGTTGCCGGTGCGTTACACAGGCCGAACGGCATACGGTTCCACTCGAATAATCCGAACGGTGTCACAAACGCCGACTTAGCTTTGGCAGCTTCATCTATCTCCACCTGCCAATAGCCAGCTGCGAGATCTAAGGTAGAGAAGTAGCGTGCACCCGCCATAGCGTCGATAGCATCGTCCACACGAGGAAGGGGAAAGGCATCCTTCTCGGTGATACTGTTCAACTGCCGGTAGTCGATGCATAGCCGGATAGAAGAGTCAGGCTTGCGTACGACAACTATCGGAGCAGCCCAAGGGCTTCTGGATGGAGATATAATCTCATGATCAAGCAGTTGATCAACGTGCTGCTTTACCTCGGCTCGTTGACTGAGAGGAATTCGGCGGGGTGGCTGTCTCTTAGGCTGATCAGATGTAGTCTGGATGTTGTGTGTTACTACATCAGTCTTCCCAAGGTCGAATTGTCCCTGCGAGATGACATCGGCATTGTCGTTGAGCACAGTAGCTATAGCAGACCGCGCTTGCGGATCGAGGTGACGTAAGTCAAATAGATCGTCTGGCTCGGAAGGTGAGCAGCTATTTTCCTGTACTGCGTTACAGCTATGCTCGTCAACAGAGGCAGCATGCGTAGGCGAATCATTGAGATCATCGTCAATGTAAATATCAGAATCAAATTCAGCAATTTGATAATTCTTCGGGACAGTTGTGGAATGAGGAAGAAAATTTTGTAGGCGAATCCAAACACGGCCAGCAGAGTCAGGAGTAGCCACCACACGTGACATAGCAGTGCTAAACTTGGAAATAAACTTCTCTGAGGGTGAAACAAAACCAGCAGAGCTAGGTAAATGATTATCATCGGTACGCAGCTGAGCTTGAACAATGACTTGTGTATACGCTGGTACAGTAACCGAATTAGCAAGATGAACACGGCAGACTACAGGATTAGCATTATGGGTGGGCTCTAGGGGTACATCGACACCGCCTGCATCGAGCATGTTGCGACCGAAATCAATTGTGCAGCCATGAGATTGCAAGAAGTCAATGCCGATTAGCACATCGGGCATAATGTCAGCAACAATGACTCTGTGGCGTACAGCAAGCTTGCCAGTTGCTAACAATACGACAGCTTCCCCGAGCACAGGGACAGAAGAATTATTTACCGCTTTAAGAACAGTATTAACGGGTGAGATAGATAAATGAACATTGTGATGAGAGAGAGACTTAGCAAAGCTGGTGCTCAACAACGTTACGCAACTGCCGGTGTCCACAAGCATGTTGGCTGGTACAGCCTCGACCGTGCCTTGGATCTGCACCGTGCTGTCGGACTGTGTTGCAAGACACGACAGAGGCAGGACAATCGAGCTGTCTGGACACTCGGCTGGAGTAGTTGTGCAGGCCTGACAAGTTGTCTCAGTAGGTAAGCAGACAGCCTCATGACACACCGAACACGGTTCACTCTGCTTACCGGTACATGGGTCCATTGGGGAGGTTGCTGACGGCGGACCCTGGCTGTCAGCGACGCTCAGTTTCCCCGACCGCGTCCACGGCCCCGGTGACCACCACGGTTAGCCGGTGTGTATCTCTGGTGCGGACAATCAGGTGCGAAATGCATTGTGCTGTCGCACACATAGCACCGCTTGGTGTCACCATCTCCATTCCGATGCAGATTAGTTGGCCTCTCCAGCGTGAGCCTGGAGATCTTGTCTTCCAGGGCTGCCATCCTCGACAGCAGGGCGTTGAGTGTAGGGTCACTGGGCTGAGATTGCACCGCACATACAACTGGGCTAGCTGCCTGCTGCT